GGAATCTCCCATCTGGACTTAGGCAGGTCCAACCCATATTCTGTGCAGCTGTTCCAGTACACAATCCAAGCAACTTAGTTGTTCCTTTCTTTGCACAGTTTGCACTATGGGTCCTGAATGGTGTGGTAACTCTGCCCTTTTATTGACCTGGTGTTGAATGCTTATTCTGGCGCTTCTAGGATTAGTGCCTCAGTGCTGTCTTGCAGTCTGTTTATTTTCCAACTATTGGTAGAATTTTGTAATGTTAGCCACATCCACTATATGCCAGTGGTTCACCCTATGGAGAGGTTGGTATTGCCATGTAACTATCTCCTTTTATGCATCTTTTTGCATTCCTTTAGCAGTTCTGATCATCCCTTTATTTGGTATTATCTGGACCGAACGATGTCCTGATGTACTTGCTGTATATCCTAGTTACGCGAGTCAGTCAGTGCTGTCTTTATCCAGTGGGTGTGGATCATGTCAGATCCTGGTTCTGATCAGCTCTCCATTGTTGGATATCTCCCACTGTGGTTCCTGTTCTGGGAGCATGCAATGGCTTGCTTTCAGGTCTGCTAGCCACTAGGTTTTGGTGTTATGTGATGCTTCTTTATCCAAGATGCTCTTCCAGGACTGTTCAGTCTCTGCTCTTGGTTGGTCTTGGGTAGATATGTTACCCTACAGCTTTGAGTACATCTTGCATGGTTCTTTGGTAAACTTGGCATTTATTCTCTTAGCCTCTGCATCTCTGGTGTACCTGCTCAGTCTGGTTTCCAGTGTGGTCAGTCTTTGCTTAGCTGTTTCAGAGCCTCTGATATGGGAATACCCTGTGTTTCCAAAGTAGCCAGGATCTATCTTTTCTCTTTCTACCTCTGTGAAGTGTATCCAGTTTGCTAACTTTCTTACATGTTGCCTTTATCTTCACTTCTTAACCTTCATGGTGGTCATTGTTTCTCTTTCAGCCTGACCCTGTAGTCAAGCTGTTGGAGGACCACAAGTGCTGTGCCATATAGGAGTGTGTTGGTCTCTGTGATGGTGTTAATTGGGATAGTATATAGTTCCTCATTAACCACTGCTGGCATACTATCTGGTGTCAGATTTTAAGTGAATGTTCGTAGTCTTGTCTGGTGGTCAAGGACTGCTAACTTTTCTGTGATCTGCTCTTTTATATCTGGTATTATACCATCTTGGGGTACAGATACAAGTTGGCAGCAGTATCTAAGTATAGGGTTTATTATAGAAACACCTGCCTCCTTATGACTCATGTATGCCCTGTTGTGTAGTCTATTAAATTCGAGTTGTGAAACTAGCTTCCTCTCTATGTTCAAATGTTGTGTAATTAGCTGTTGTAGTGTTAGTGTAGACGATGTTCTCTTATTCATCCATAGATCCCAAACACGCTTCATGTAGCAGCTCTCATTGTGTTTTACACTACACCTTTTGGCCGTATCTAAAAGGGTTGTTAGGGGTAAGTGACAGGGTGGGTAGGGTTATGTGATTGGGTAGATCACTGTGGCCAGGAGCATGTAATTTAGTATGTTGCAGAATGGCTGTGTGGCTGTAGAAGATTTGGTACATGATTAATGGATGAATGGATGTGCCTGGTGATTGCATGTGAACGAATAAATGTGTGCCTGTTTAATAATTATTATGACTAGGGCGGAGGGTAATCTCTACCTTAACCATACTTCAAGCAGGAGATGAGATGTAGGCTGTTGAGGGCTCTTACTCATTGTTACACTGCTCGAAAATGGTTAAAAACTCAACCGTGAACCAGCACTAGGGGATTCCGACACAATAACCACTTAAATTAGATGAATTGCTTATAGTGCCTAGAGTTGTGATGGCAAACCTATAGACCTTGTTCCACAATAGGCACGCAGAGAACTCTCTGGTGTGCAAGCCAAAGGTTCAACAAGTCGCAATGTATAAGTAGCTTCTTTTAACTCCCCTGAGCTCAGCACTGCAGTGTAGGGCTGACTTATTGGAGAGAGTCCATTGAGTGCTCTCATCACCAGGCTAGCTAAGAGCAGGAATCTTCTTGGCTGTACCGAATGAATTGACTGCAACCTAGCTGACCCCAGTTAAGTTGTCACACCATTCCTAAATGGTTTGACCAGTTACGCTAGGAGTGAACTCCTGGCATCATAACCACTACTGTGGACTGAGATAGTTATGGTGATTGGAGTGTTTAACTAATTTATTTTACAGATATAGCTCACAATACATTTACAACCTATTCTCATTTCAAATTCAAACATTTCTGTGTATCTGTTTGTTGTTTGAGATGTAAAAGGTGTTACTATGGAAACACATGTTGTTTTTGATAGCATTAACCATTTTCCATGAGGAAATGCTACTGGGAATGCTGAAACCAGAATCTAAAAACTGTCTTTAAAGTATCAGGGATACATACATGTTTTATTTTATGTAAGTCGATATTTTCTGAGCTTCAGTGCAGTAGATATACCCAAAATATGTTACAGTAACTATGTCTTATGTTTAAAATATTTCCAAAGTATTTCTTTATATGTGTTTGTATACTTTGTTTTCTGATGTGTGCCCGTTTGAAGCTATTGTGTATGTATATTCAATAGTCAATTAACAGCAGAGGAGAAGATCCCATTATTTCAAATAAAAACCTACTTTTTCAGATTAATAATTTAAAAAAGATAAAACGCAACATTTAGACAAAATAAAGAAAATGTTTCGTTTTTTTTTTCAAAAGACAGATCTGCTTTAACCTAACCAATTAAATGTCAATTTTTATTTTGTTTAAAAATAGAACAACATGGGGGGCGTGGCCTGACCGCCGAGAAACATGGCAGCCTAATCTCGGAGCTCCGTCTCACCCAGCCTTAAAAAGCACGCTCAGACACAAGCAAGGGCGCACTATGGGCCAAACAAAACGCCCTGAGGGCTCCCAGACCCCGAGGATCGTCCCTATGAACTGGTACCTGCCCACTCCGGCAGCCGCGCCACATGAGCAGGTAGGCCCAGTAGAGACCGGCTCCCCGCCATGTGCCCGGCCCCTAGAGTGCAATACACCCACGCTAGCCGACATCAGCGCTGACATCAGGGCGCTGGCAGCACAGATGGTTACAAAAAGTGACCTCCAAGCCCTCTCAGACGACCTCCATGCCGCAATACGCTTTGATGTGGCGGCCCTGCGGTCAGAGGTCACGGCACAGGAAGGCAGACTCCAAACCCTGGAAGAAACGGTGAGAGGGGTGACGGAGAGAGCGGGGACCAACACCACCGCGGCCACAAGACAAGGGCAAATGCTACTGGCCCTCCGAAGCCAGACAGAGGACCTGGACAACAGGGGCCGCCACTCCGACATCCGTGTGCGCGGAATACCCGAGCAAGCCACTGAGGAAGATGTGGAGGCCACGCTAAAAGCCCTCTTCCGAGAGATTCTGCGAGCTGACATGCCAGATAACATGACATTTGACCGAGCACACAGAGCTAATAGACCCAGGCCAGCAGACAACACACCACGAGACGTCATCTGCTGCCTACATAATTACAAGCACAAAGAAAAAATAATGCTCAAAGCACGCTCCAGTCCACGGTGGAGGTTCCGCGGCGCAGACGTGGCCTTGTACCAAGACCTATCACCGCTCACACTCGATGCCCGCAGGGCCTTACGCCCCATCACATCACTACTCAGGGAGAGAAACATCCCCTAGAAGTGGGGGTTCCCCTTTGCCCTGCTTGCCAGACACCAAAACGAGTGGGTACCCCTACGCTGGCCGGAAGAGGGCCCAGAATTCCTACGCCGCATGGGCCTACCACCCACTGAAATAGCGGACTGGATACTCTGACCTCTGGAGCAGAGACCTGGACCCTACACGCCTCGACAGCAGCGACGCCGTGGGGAGGACCCACCAAGACGTCCCAGTGCCCGCAGACGCCTGGACCCAGCAGTACCCAAGGAGTAGCACTGGAGACGAACCCCCCCACGATACAACCACCACCCCCCCCCTTGAGGTGGGGGGGACTATTGGTGGGGGGGACATGCGCAAGACTCGGACTCTGCTTACACCGGAGAACACTGGGCTAAGGACTAAACAGTAGCCTATGCCGTAAGGTGCTAACAGTTTTAATAACCTAATGTTCCAAAGTTTGAAGTTTATAAGGTTTGCTCAGACACACTAGGGGAACGCACAAAGGCCCCATGCACCCCCTCGGCTGTACCCCAAGACACTAAGATAGCGACGACACGCCGCTGTTAGGCCAACCAGAACCCCTAGTATGTCGATATAGGCACACTGCCGACTTGACAGGCAACCGAAATTTAGCCGGCAACTCTCTAGAGAGGTCGACATGCTGCAAAGAGTCCCTGGGATGAGAAGGGCAGGGACCTATTGATGATAATGCCCCCAAGCATATACCAAGATTTGACCCCCCCAAGTCGACCATACAGGCAATACCCGGTGTTGACACCCCGTGCCCCCCCCCTGCATGAGGTCACTCTCATATGACGAGGCAAACTTTCGGACCCCCACCCTATGAGAATAACAGTAACAACACTATATAGCGAGGAAATCCTGGGGACCGACTATGACCGCAACTGCAGCACCCCGAGACGGAACGGACTAGGAAGAAGAGGGGTAAACAGAGGGAGCAGGGGACTAGCAGGGATGGGAACCACAACGCATAGGAGGGGAAGGTGGGGCTCTCACCATAGGAGACACCGCGGTTGCGAGACCCACTATGACATACAGAGGGGGAGCGCCCTGAGGGATGGGACTCTATAACCGCAGAAACTACAAAACCTACTCAGCCAGGCATAACTGACAAACAGACCGCACGTGCTGGGAGACACATGCAACACGCTGAAGCCGGCCCAACCTTACACTACCACTAAGACCAGGTGACCCTACCCAACAGCTGCACTCCGACACACTACCACCACTACAATGGGACAACGTCACACGGACACCCTACCAATGCCCATACCAAACCCTCACGACCGCCACAGTAAGCCTTAGCGTCCAACACGCAACCAATCACCAATGAAACGGAAGACCCACGAGATAGGTACACTCGGACCGACTCCACCACCCGAACACACCACTACCCTGGTGGTATATGATATAAACGGGACACCACAACCCTGACCTTCACCTGCGTAGACACAGACTACCGAGGGGACCACTGCCTTGCTGCCCTAGCTCACGCTAAGCGGCGGTTTGGCATTGCCATCCAACTCGGTTACACAGGTACCTATCCCTACAGGGACTGACATCCCAAACACCCAAGAAACAACATAGACTACAGTGCATAAGCCCATAACAGGCACCAACTAACTACACGACTCACGAGAGACCCCCAGACCACGGGGGACGGAGGCGGCGGGCGCGGGACGCCGAGGTGATCCTCTCTACAACCCCACCAAACCCTAAAACTCTCTCCACACACCCATCCCCGCCCTTAACCCATTCCTGGGCCCCCATTCCCCACCCCTACAGAATACCACAACCGCACCATTCCACATAATCACACAAAACTGCAGAGGCCTGAACGCCCCTGAAAAAAGGTCTCACCTTCTACAAGACTTGAAACACCGCCGAGTTTCGATTGCCCTCCTACAAGAAACGCATCTCAGAGAAGCAGACACCCATAGAATACAAAACAAGCACTATACTACCACCTACCATAGCAGCCACCAAACCACCCGAAAAGCTGGAGTCTCGATTCTCCTAAGCACCAATCTACAATTCACTCACTCCGAAACGCTCAAAGACACAGACGGGAGATACATATTCGTGAAGGGAACAATCGCCCAGAGAACCTATACGTTCGCCTCAGTTTATGCCCCAAACACAAACCAGGTTAAGTTCCTGCGCAGAACGCTCCTGAAACTAGCAACTTTCACGGAAGGCATCCTTATTCTCGGTGGAGACCTCAACCTACCTCTGGACCCTATAGCAGACACCTCCACTGGACACAGCACAATAGCACAAACGGCAATCAGAAGACTCCGCAGAACGCTACACGACTTGAGACTGGTGGATACTTGGCGAGCACTCCACCCAGACAGCCGAAACTACATACACTACTCGACCCTACACAAACGGTACTCGCGCATTGACTACATCTTCATCCAACAAGAAGGACTCACACATCTACAAAAAGCCGACATTAAACCGACCCCGTGGGCGGACCACAACCGAAACCTCTATACACCTAGACTCTCCCATCTTCAAGCCCACTAGATCGTACTGGAGAATGAATGAATCACTCCTTCTAGTCGTAACAATCCAATAGAAACTGACCGAACATTTGAACCAATACTTCGAAGAGAACGCAACGGCCGACATCTCACAGACAACACTCTGGGAGGCACATAAGAGCGTCCACAGAGGACATTTTATATGACAAGCATCGCGTAAAAAATGAGATAATTTGAAAGCAATCGAAGACCTAACAACCCAAATAGCAAAACTGGAGACTCAGCATACACGAAGCCAACTAGACGCCCAATACCGAGAACTCCTAACCGCACGCAGACAACTCACAGAGCTCATAGACCACAAACACTACAGAACACTACAATGCTCGAAGGCCTTCTACTACATACACGCGAACAAAAGCGGCAGACTACTAGTGCAGATGATAAGAGGACAACAAACAAGAGCCCAGGTACCAACACTGCGAACCTCAAGAGGACGCCTCACCCAATTCCCAGAAGAAATAGCGGAGGAGTTCCGCGCATACTACACAACCCTATACAATATCCACGCGGACCGACCTAATGGGCTACAGGAAGCTACCACCAGAGAAACGGAGCAATATCTACAAGGATTCCAACCAGAGGCGCTAACGAGAGAAGAAGCAGAAGCACTGGAAGTCCCGATATCTGAAGAGGAGGTCAGGCAGGCAATTAAGGGATCTAAGAATGGCAAAGCACCTGGCCCAGACGGATTTCCGGCCGGGTACTATAAGAAATTTAGTGAGATACCTGATCCACAGACTCACGGCCGCGCTGAACCAACTGCAGAAAGGAGACGGATTCCACGCAGAGACAATGGCCGCCACCATCACTGTCATACCCAAACCAGGTAAAATCCCAGAATGCTGCAGCAATTATCGCCCCATCTCACTCCTCAACACGGACGTCAAGCTATTCTCCAAGATCATAGCAAATAGACTACAACCCTACCCCCGAGACTGATCCACCCAGACCAAACGGGCTTCATACCGGGGAGAGAAGCCAGAGACTGTACTCTGAGGACGTTCACTATTCAGCACCTGGCACAAAAGGAAAACAAGAGCATGCTACTACTCTCCACAGACGCAGAAAAAGCGTTTGATTGGGTAAAATGGCACTTCATGATGGCAACTCTCGCCAAGATAGGGTTGGGGGAAAGGGATGCTCACGTGGATAGAAACACTATACCGCAATCCAAACGCAAGGATACGGGTCAATGGAGCACTCACAACTAGCTTCACCATCCACAATGGTACCAGACAAGGATGCCCCTTATCCCCCCTCCTATTCGCCCTCACTCTAGAGCCTTTCCTAGATAAGATCCGACGAACGCCCACCATCCAAGGACTCCGTATAAAGAACAGGAACACAAGGTGGTGGCCTACGCTAACGATATGCTCTTCTACATTAACAACCCAACAAACACGCTACCAGCATTAATGGAGGAATTCGAAAAATATGGCCGATTATCAGGGCTCAAACTGAATCACACAAAATGCGAAATATTACAAGTTT